CGAGTAACCAACTCGGCCAAGGATGTACCTTCAAATCAACACTCAAGGTTTCCCTCCCGAGTAACCAACTCGGCCAAGGATGTACCTTCTAATCTCACCAAGGTTTCCCTCCCGAGTAACCAACTCGGTCAAGGATGTACCTTCTCATAATCAATTCCGAATGACTCCATTCGGTTTTAACTCAAAAGGCATCAACTCCGAATGACTTCATTCGGTTTTGACTCAAAAGGCTCCAATTCCGAATGACTTCATTCGGTTTTGATCTAAAAAGCATCAATTCCGAATGACTTCATTCGGTTTTGACCTAAAAAGCATCAATTCCGAATGAAGTCGTTCGGTTTTGACCTAAAAAGCATCGGTCCCGAAGGACCATTTCGGTTTTGACCTGAAAAGCATCAATTCCGAATGACTCCATTCGGTTTTGACCTAAAAAGCATCAATTCCGAATGAAGTCGTTCGGTTTTGACCTAAAAAGCATCGATCCCGAAGGACCCATTCGGTTTTGACCTGAAAAGCATCAATTCCGAATGACTCCATTCGGTTTTGACCTAAAAAGCATCAACTCCGAATGACTCCATTCGGTTTTTGTCCAAAAGCAATCAAGTCCGAATGAAGTGCTTATATAATATTTAAAATTTAAAAATTAATTTTAAACATTGATAATTAAAAAATTGTTGATACTTTTTATGTCAACATTGGAAGAGAGGACAAGGAGGTAGGAGAAAGAATAAAGATAAATGGATGAGAAAGAGAAAGAAATTAAAGAAAGAGGGAGACATGGAAAGAAAAGAGAAAGAAAGAGAGAGAGAGAAGGGGGAGAAAGAGAGAAGAGAGTAGGAGGGAGAGAAGTGAGAGTGAGAGAGAGAGAGAAAGAGAGAGAGAAAGATGATAGAAGAAAATGAGGATATAAATATACATAGGTGAGACAAGAAAGAGAAAGTATGAATAATTTTTAATTCTTAATTCTTTGAGAAAATTTAACTTTCTATAATTTCATAGAATTTCATAAATACTTAAATTTTAATTTATTTATAAATTATTTATACAAATAAAATATTTCTCCTCAAAATATTTTAAATTCAAAAAAAAAATGAAGTACTATGTTATGTTATTCATTTAAAACATTTGTGTTATTCATCACAAATTATTTTATGCATCTTTTTTTTTGATATATTTATATCCTTTTCATTATGTCTCCCATATAAGATGGATTTTTTTTTGCCAAATTTTTTTTTTTTAGAGTGGTCAAAGTTGAAGTTGGAAGAGCTAGATCTAAGCTATAATGAATTTGGAGGACCACTTCCGTCATCTTTTGTTAACATGAAATCTCTTCGAATGTTGGAACTTTCTCACAATCACTTCACCGGACAATTTGATTCTAATGTTGCAAGCTTTACGTCACTTGAATATTTTGGTTTTATAGGAAATCAATTTGAGGTCCCTATTTCATTCATATCATTTGCCAATCATTCAAACCTCAAATTCATCTATGGAGAAGGAAACAAAGTCATACTAGACTCACAACCTAGTTTTCATACTTGGGTTCCCAAATTTCAATTGCAAGTGCTTAGTTTGTCTTCAACAACAGATACTAATTCTCTTCCCCTCCCCAAATTTCTTCTCTACCAAAACAACTTGACTAGTGTAGATTTCACTAGTTGTAGGTTGGAAGGAGAGTTTCCTCACTGGTTGTTGGAAAATAACACGAAACTAACTGAGCTTCTTATTAGAAATTGCTCTTTTAAAGGTCTTTTCCAGCTACCATCGCATCCCCTTCCTAGCATAAGGAAAATAGATGTGTCTGACAATAACATAAGTGGTCAAATCCCTAGCCATAATATTAGATTGATTTTACAAAATTTGCAATTTCTGAACTTGTCTGGAAACCACATCCAAGGTTTCATTCCTCGTGAATTTGGCCAAATGAACTTATTAGATACATTGGATCTCTCAAATAATAATTTGTCAGGAGAAATTCCAAAGAACATATCTGGGGATAGGTCTTTGCTCAAAATCTTGAAACTTTCGAACAATAAACTATATGGACCTGTGTTTCCAACTTTGAAGTACTTGGAGGAACTATATTTGGATGGAAATAGCTTATATGGTAATATACCAAGTAGTTTATTCAATTCATCTCTAATAAACTTGGATATAAGCGATAATGATTTAGTGGGGAAGCTACCAAGCATGGTAGGAAATCGGTCAAACTTGGAGACACTTTCATTGTCCAACAATCATCTTAAAGGATCAATTTCGAGGAGACTTGTTGTGGAACTCAAAAGTCTAGTGTATTTAGATATCTCACACAATATTTTGACAGGTATTGTTCCATCTTTTATCAATTCTCTAGTGAGTTACATTCATTTGAGCAACAATAGGTTAAGTGGCTTGTCCAAAAGAATGTTCAACAATATCTCTAACATAGTGATACTAGATCTTAGCTACAATGAAATAACTGATCGCATTCAAGACATGATACAAGATGTTGCTCATGTAAGCATGGACATACTCATTATGAAATTTAACTACTTCACAGGGTATTTACCAAAGCAGTTATGCCAATTGGTAGATATAAGTATATTGGACCTCTCTTATAACAATTTTTATGGTGCAATACCCAATTGCTTGGGTAATGTACCTTTTAATGAGAATGAGGAGGGACTAATGGGTTTTGTTCACGGTGTTTTCAATCAAGAAAATAACAAAAGGATGGTAACAATTATATCAGGTATAGAAGAGAAAGCAAACTTCACTACAAAACAAAGATCCTACACTTATACAGGGAACATCCTTGCTTATATGTCTGGAATTGATTTATCCTACAACAAACTAAATGGGAGTATTCCATCTGAACTTGGAAACTTGACAAGAGTTCGAGCATTGAACTTGTCTCATAATGATTTGACTGGACAAATTCCAGCTACGCTCTCCAATTTAGTACAAATAGAGAGTTTAGATCTTTCTTTTAACATGTTGAGTGACCAAATTCCTCCTGAGCTGAGTAGGTTAACCTCGATTGAAGTATTTAGTGTGGCACACAACAACTTATCAGGTGAAACACCCGAAAGGAAAGGCCAATTTATTACCTTTGATGAAAGTAGCTACGAGGGAAATCCTCTTCTTTGTGGGCCTCCACTTCCAAAAAGTTGTTATCCTTATGGAAAACCACCTACCATTTTTCCAAATGGCTCTAACATTGATGAGGATAATGCCAATTTAGTTGACATGTATGTTTTTTGGGTAAGTTTTGTTGTGTCTGACACATCAGTGTTGCTGATAATTGCAGTGATTCTCTACATTAATGCGTATTGGAGACAAACATGGTTTTACTATATGGAACAAGTCATCTCAAAATGTTATTTCTTTATCGAGGACAACTTGTGTAGGTTTTCAACTTTTACAAATATGTAACACATATTACCTTGTATGCCTAGGATATCAACTTGTTTGCTTAAGAGTGATTTTGTGAATAATTCCTACAAGTGTTGCTTATATATACAATTATTATGATTTTATTATTATTTATTTTAAGTTTTTTATTGTAAAATATATACTAGTGGAAAAAGCTTGGTTGCATGGGTTAATTTTATCATTTTTCATAAATTTAAACAAATTAAAGATTTTCAATAATTTTAATAAATAAAAATATATCATAATTTGTAGTATAAATTTAAGATTTACATACACTTTAATTTGATATTATGAGTTATTCTAAGATTTACATACACTTAAATAGTTGATAAGTTGTAGTTTTAGATAAGAATCGAAGTGTGTGCATGTATTAATATTTTATATTCTCAATCATGCATATTGTACATGTATTTAGAAACCTTTTATTCTTTTTCTTTAATGTTGTGACCACTTTTTGCTCTTCAAATCGGTTGTCTAGCAATGTTGAGGGAGACATATATACAAAAGTCATTCTAATGTTTAAGTAAGTAACTCACTCGATGTAACAAATGTAAATATATTATGAATAGTAATTTTATTTTAATATACAATACTATTTTTACTAACTGTGTTGAACCCAAATTCCAATGGCCTTAGTTTGGGTAATGTGTATGTAATCCACTTTTTACTATAACTAGGGTTAATCATCCTAATTACTTTTCCATAGGATGTACAACCATTCATTCTGCTCAATGGAACACTATGAATCGGCATCCGAAGATGTCGAACAATCATACATAGGTCTTTGATGTCACATCGACGTCTGAGGGTGCCAAATGAGTGTCCTAGGATGCTAGTGAATGCATTGAAATTCGAGAGTGTCAAATGAGCACTCCCAACATGCTAGTGAGTGCATTGACTTTCGAGGGTGCAAAATGGAATATTTTCTTAGATATCAATGATTGTATGGGCATATCCGAGCATGTCGAATGAACACACACAAGTCTTTGCTGATGTATTGACATCCAAGGGAACCAAATGAGTGTGTTGGTTTCTAGTGGCCTAAGAATCCATCCAATATATATACTAAGAGTTAGTCTTCCTCTACAACAAATGCATTTCCAAAATTTGTGGATGTCATCAAGTATATGCTCATATATAGAGAATATAAAAATAGGGATTACTAAATTACATTTTTAGTTTTTTAGAATTATAATAATTGTGTATGTTTGTTACCACACATGTAATCATCTATTTATAATGAATAAGGATACAAAATAAGAAAATATAGAAATAAAAGATAACAGATAATAATGAGTAGAATTCCTAATTTTTTCTATACAAGTTTTCCTAACTATAAAAGAATCAATCATATTAAATCTTATATTTAATACTCCCTCTCAAGTTGGAGTATATATGTGATATGAGTCAAACTTGTTACAAATATCATCAACTCGAGAGCCCTTGAGATATTTGGTGGATATACTGTCAAATGATCATTGAATCTAATGAATGTAGTTGGTACAAGTTAGAAAAAGTTATTGTACACAACAACAAAAATGTGTTGGTCACATGAACATTAAACGTCAGAGTGTGACAGTGTGACAGTATGTGACATCGATAACAATGAATGTTATTAGACATAACAAGTTGTCAAAGACTCTCCATGCCGAAAGTTATAGCACTCCAAGTTTTTCTAAAATTAATAGAAGTTTTAATTAATTAATTGAATTTATGAAAATAATTAAGAGGCTTCTTGTATAATTAGTATGGGGAAATATATGTGTTTTATTAATTTGATATATTTTATTAAGAAAATAAGGCTAAGCTTTTAAATGGGAGGTTTTAAAAGGTTTGGTCAATTTTGCATTTATTTTTACACTTACGCTTGTTTCCTATGAACTTGAAGAACAGCCGGAAAGTAGGAAGGAGATTATCTTGGAGTTTCGCATCCATTGTCTAACATTCTTTAAAGTTTCGCATCCATTGTCTAACATTCTTTAAAGTAAGTGGATAGTGAGTAGTTTTAGCTTGGAGTGTGGATTCTCTGCTGGATAGTGCAATAGATTCCAAATCTTAATATTTGTTCATATGTGTTTTTTTTTTGGGAGAAATTCCAAATTTTGACTTGTTTATTATAAATATGTGTTTTTATATAATTCTTCTGTAGATATTTATTGTGTTATATGTTTCATGAATTGGATTCCCAATTATGTGTGTTGGCAAAATCAATTTTATAATATATTTAATTCAAATAAAAATTACGCTAATACAAAATCATATTTATTTAAAATTAAGCCAATAAAATTACGTTAATTCAAAATTAATTATATTAGTTCAAAATAATTAATTCTTCAAATTCATATTCAAACACGCATGAAAATTAAGCATGTACCACTTTTGAACAACTTGGATAATACGCCTTGGGCCACAAACTAATTGGTGCTTTCTTATTTTAATGAACATATCAAATCAGTCTCTAACACGTTAATTGTGTGCTTGACTAACGCTTAGTAGTATTTGATACAGCTAGAGCCACAATATGTGGAAGTATTTTTATTTTTTTATTTTTATAAATACTCTATTCATATATACGCCTTAAATTTATTATTAGATATATATTAAAATATTTATGTATTAAATAAAACAATCTTAAAATATTAAATGTAAATTAACAACCCACATATATAGTATGACTGTCGAAAAAGCTTAGAACAGTATTAAATTTCAAATAATCACTAATGTCCAATAATAATGAAATGTTCTCCTTATATCTATTATTTTCGCTCATTAAAAAAAAAAAACCTAATTAACAACCCACGTGTAACAACACACATAATTGGAACTATTTGTCACGACAGGTACCAAAGTCAATGTCTTGTTTTAGCAAAACTTTTGGCAAATATTTACAGGAGAAAAAATAAAAATAAAAAACAAATGCATTAAATTTCTTAATTATAAAGAGGGGAGTTTGAGATATAATAAATGATGAGATAAAGAGATATTTACAAGAAAAATTATGTTATATTAGTTGCATGGATTGTTATATATATATATATATATATATATATATATATATATAAATAT